CCAGGACAGCTGGGGCTACAGGGAGACCCTATCTCAAAAAGACCAAAAAAAAAATTAATTCTTATTTTATGTGTATGAGTGTATTGTTAGCATGTATATAAGTGCACCCATGTCATGAAATGCCCACAGAGGCCAGAAGAAGACAGCATAATATTCTCCTGGAACTAGAGTTACGGATGGTTGTGAGCCCCCACATGGGTGCTGGGAATCAAACCTGGGTCCTCTGCAAGAGCAGCCAGTGCTCTTAAGTGCTGAGCCATCTCTCCAGCCACACCCACAACTTTTTTACAGGCTCATTTCAAATGGAAAAAGTGCAGGAAACCTCACGTGGAAGGTTAGAGCTTGAACCCTTTGCTCAAACTGCATCTCACATGAGTGTGTGACAAGAAACCAGAGCAACGTCTACCCACAATCTGTGCACTGACACTTCTTGGAAGTAGGTTATTTTTCTGCTTTCTTAGATTTTAGGCTCTTAATCTGGGTTTCACTTAACTCTAGCGGTTCATGGAAAAGTTTCCACAGTCCTCTGCCGAAGTTCCATGTTATATCAATGTCTTCTACCAGGGGTGGTGCAAATAGTCAATGAAGTCTTTATCTCATCTACTTACAATTGCTAGGATCTGCGGTGCCAGCAATTCTTGAAAGAGAGCTTTGGTTTTGAAAATCTTATCATTGCACTATTTGTATGGATGAGATCCTTAGTGAGACTAAATATATGTCAGACATAAATGAGCCTACATTCTCCACCACTGACAAGTTTCTCCCTTTAATGCCTTAAGAGTGACCAACACCCCCCACAATTTTTTTTTTTTTGGTCTTTTTGAGACTGGGTTTCCCTGTAGTCCCAGCTGACCTGTAACTCACTATGTAGACCAGGCTGGCCTTGAATTCACAGAGTGAGATCTGCCTGCCTCTGCCTCCCGAGTGCTGGGATTAAAGGTGTGCACCACCATGCCTGGCCTAATCCCCCCACTCTCCACTTTTGAGACAGGTTCTTCCTGTAGCCCCTGTAGCCTCAATCTCATGGAGATCTGCCTCCCTCTAACTTTCAAGTGCTGAGAATAAAGGCATGTGCCACTACGTCTGGCAATAATTTTTTTTTTTTTGTCTTTTTGAGACAGGCTCTCCCTATAGCCCCAGCTGTCCTGGAACTCACCATGTAGACCAGGCTGGGCTTGAACTCACAGAGACCCGCCTGCCTCTGCCTCCTGAGCGCTCGGATTAAAAGCATGTACCACCACGCTTGGCAATAATGTTATTTTTTAAAATGTGTATTGTATGTGCCTCTGTGTGGGTATGTGCAGTGAGTGAAGGTGCCCAAGGGATACAGAAGAGGGTTTTGGATCCCCTGGAGTTACAAGTGGTTTTGAGCTGCTCCATATGGATTCTGGGAAGTAAATTGGGTTCCCTGCAAGAGCAGCAACCACTGGTAACTGATGAGTCATGTCTTCAGCCCCTGAGAATTTTTTTTTGGTTTGATAGACATTTATTTGGCATTTTGAATGGACTAGACACGGTGCAAGGTGCTGAGAGAGAACAGGCTATGATAAGGTCTCTCAAGGAGCTCACAGTCTAATTAAATTACTGAGTAAATGGAGGCGCAGAGAGGTAAAGGACTTACTCACTGACGTAGAAATAGCTAGGTGTCTGGAAAGGCAAGGCTAGAGCTGGAGAGTGGGCAGGGTATGATCCATGGGAGGTAAAATCCCTCTGACCGAGGAGCAAGGCTGCATCCAGAAACACACTGTAAAGGCTGCTGCAAAAAGCTTACCAAGGTTTTCAGTTTCACCAGGACCAAGTTCACCCTCAATGGACTGATCCATTTACCCAATGGCATTTCTAGCTTGCTCCCTAAGCCTTGAGACAGGTCACCAATCTATTGGGACACAGGGACTCTGGGCAGTTTAAAATCAAGACATATTCTACTCTTAGTATCAGGAACCATATTAAAATAAGTATATCTGTGATACTTCTACATGTAGAAATTCAGAAAAATTCCTCTAACCCTCATCCCGGAGGATTCTTTTAAGTTACATATACCCAGGAAATTAGAGTATTTGTCAGTCTATATACATTATTTTGGCTCTTCAAGGGTAAAAGTGTCACTTAGATGCATTTAATAAGTAATCTAAACATCATACAGATATATACAGATACATTTGGCTCTGTGTGCAGGCCTAACCAACTTGCAACACCTAACTGCAAATGTGAATCAGTGTAAGGCATTTCTTCTGTGACCAGGACATCATCCTTCAGGGAAGGGAAAGTCCATGATGAACTGTGCCGAACCTGACCATCTTTGTGATAAAGTTAGTTCAGGAGGCAAGAAGTTCATTTAACCGACAAAAAGCATTGAATAATTATCTAGAGTTGATTTTGAATGTGGGAACATAATTCTCCAGTAACCTAAGCTACTCAAGGCTGCTACTGGCCTTCATACTACTGTTAATCCAGACAGAGGAGAGCATGTCACAGGAGACTGAAGATCAAACCAGTGCATAATTTATCCACACAGGATGTTCCAAAGGCCTCAGTCCATTTCCCTATCAGTCGATCACTTCAAGTGACTCTTCATCTCACTGAGAATTTTCTTCTTCCTGTGCCTTCTGGATGTTGGACAGAGGGACCTCTACTCCATCAGGTGTCTTATCTTTTGAGTGGTTCTGCTCCACTTCACACGAATATACATCAATGGGGTCCTTCAGTGCTCCTTATATGTACCGTGACAGAATCTTCTCTGGGAGCTGGAACACCCAGTCAGGTTTATTCGTTGCTCTAACAATCTGTTCATGGAAGGCTTGAATGCTGTGAATATCCTCATAGGTTACATATGCCAGTCTTTAGTTTTGTCATCTGTTAACTCAAACAACTACTGAGCACAATCTTTAACTCATCCAAAGCTTCTTCCATCATGGATAAATCTGAACGTTCCTCCTGTAGCTTCTTTTGCTGGGGTACTGCTCCAAAATTAAGGCCAGATACTATCTACTGAATGTGGTTCTTAGACTTCCTTTCAACCAGCTCGATGCCATCTAAGTCGTCGGTGATGTCCTCCACTCCCCGTTTTGGTACTCCCAGTTTGGTTGCAACCTTAAGACTATCCCCAGGAGCAGATCTGACAAGATCCATAAACTTTCTAAGTAAACCAGTGACACATCAAAACGAGGCCGTTTCGCCTTCAGAGCTTTTCTCATGGGCACATAATACACGTTTCTTCAAAATTAATCCTTATTTTGAATGGCAGCAGGCTCTCCACGTTGATGGGGGTCCCGGAGCAGTAGGCTGGGTAATTTCTGTCGGCTGCTGCTGACTCCTGCGGGCTTGCCTTACCCCACCCGCCTCGGGAGGGAAGGGGACCAGTGTGACCTACAGCGGTGTTCAGGACCCCAGGCCTGCCACCTTCCCGCATGCTGAGAATTTCTTTTTATTAGGTATCTATTGTGTTCATATGCCCCGTGGTGCACATGTTGTGTAGCAGTTTCCTCAGAGATAAGACATTCCTTCTGGGAGGGAAGCTTGTTAAGAACCAGAAAGTTAAGAGGGACGTAAAACAACAGGATGTTCGCAGTGAGAACAACAGGATGTTCAAGGTGAACAATAGGCTGTTCCAAGGGAAGGTAACAATAAGAATGTTCTAAGGGGATGTGAGGGGTTGGAGAAATGGCTCAACGGTTAAGAGCACTGGCTGGGGTTGCATAGGATCCGGTTGCCCAGCACCCACATGGTGGCTAACAACCCTCTGTAACTCCAGTTCCAGGGGAGCCAACGCCCTCTTCGAACCCCCACGGGCATTGCACAACACAGGTGCACTTACATACGTACAGGCAATACACTCATGCACATAGAATGAAAATAAAAAATATTTTAAAATAAAACAAAAACAAAGGAGGAGGTGAAACAATCCGCCCTGGCAGGGAAGCTTGTTCGGCTCAGGACGGAAACAACTCAATGGCTTCAAGAAGTTCCTAAAAGGGACCAGATACACTACCTCGTTCCCCAAGTATATATAAGCCCACGGCCTGCTAAGAGCTCAGTCAATTCCCAGCTGCCTGAAAGATTAGACTGACTGAGCTTCTTGGAAAAAACACTCTCCATCCCCTGTTGAACTGCTTGCAGGTTGAACTGCTTAGTCTGGGTTTCCTGTTTTGGGACTGTCACCCATGCTGTGGCGATCTTTGGTGATACACCTGCCTGAGTCATTTCTGCTCCTGTAAATAACCTCTCACCACATTCCCATAATAAACTCCAATAAAACTTATTGGCTCACCAAGTTGGCTTTTGGTGGCATCCTTCTTGGGTCTTTCATCAGTTCTCTATCTAGGGCAAGTAGATGTTTGTTCATCTCTCCCCACATGAACATTGCTACATAACACATGTGGAGGTCGGAGAACTAATAGACCTCAAAACTGGGTTTTCATACAGGCAGCTTTAACTTCTGAGTGTTCTCCTTGGCCCCCTCCCACTCCTTTCATTTGACTTGGAGAATTTTTGTTACCTCATTTGAAAGTGGGCAGTGAACACAAACCCTGGTGCTGCCAGTGTCCTGTTGCTTAACAGTGTGACAGGCTATTAGTTGAGTTCTCTCCTTCTAGGAGTCCCTGAGGAAAAACAGAAGTACAATGCCAGAGGACAGTCCTAGGTGTCCCTGGATTCACTAGGAATTTCTAGCCCTCTGGGTCTTTAGTGATTCCTTGAGGTTTCCTATCATCTGAATACCCAATCCTACCATCCCAGTGGCCTGGGAAAATATCTACTCTTCCAACTCACCAGGAACTCAGGGTCCAATGGGTATAGCCTTCTATAGATCTGTAGATTATCTCCTTTTGTTTTAATGTTGCTTATTTAAGTATTATATCAGCAACTGGCCTGGAACTCGCTCTGTTGACCAGTCTGGCCTTGAACTCAGAGATCTGCCTGCTTCCGCCTCCTGAGAGCTGGGATTAAAGGTGTGTACCACTATGCCCGGCAGCAATATAAAGATTCTTAAGTAAACAAGCAGGAGATACACGTTCTACACAGAAATATAGTTTATTTGTCCATATTCTTTTAGTTATCTATTCACATATTTTACCCTGGATGTAATGATCAGTGCAATTTTTGGTACCCGACTTTTAAAACTTAGGAGTATTTTTAGGTTTAATATTTTTAATGAGTAATGAAATTAATAAGTTAATCTATTAACTCCCTGAAAGTTTCCTGCTCACTCACTGCCTGCTGGGTAGTCTACTGAGCTGACCTTTGGTTGTGGGACTGTCCTTACCCAAAGATTCTCTGTAACAGTCCCTCTGCAGAGTAGATCTCAAGATTGATAAGGCAATGCTTTGCAGGTACGAAGCTATAATTGGCGTTACTTCTTGAACTTCGTTTCACCGTGTGTTTTCTGATGCCCAATGAGGTGTGAACTCTGGGTGAAAGCCCTTCCACATTTGCTGCACACATATGGTCGCTCTCCAGTGTGAGTTCTCTGATGCCTGACGAGGTGGGAGCTCTGGCGGAAGGCTTTTCCACAGTGCTGACATTGGTAGGGCTTAGCCCCAGTATGAGTTCTCAAGTGCTGAGAGATTGCTGATCGGTCATTGAAGGTCCTTCCACACTCTGAACACTCAAATGGTCTTTCTCCACTATGAACTCTCTGATGCTGTGTGAGGGAGGAGCTCTGAACAAACGCTTTCCCACAGGCCTGACACACATAAGGTCGCTCTCCCGTGTGAATCTTTTTATGGACAGAGAAGTATCTTGGATTCCGGAATATTTTACCACATTCACTGCATCGGCAAACTGGGCTGCCCTTGTGAATTCTTATAAAAGTAATCTGCTGAGTATGTCGGCCGATGGCTTTCCCACTATTCTTTTTCCTGTTTCCTGCCCCTTGAGAGCCCTTGTGGTGAATTTTTATGTATGGACCACGTTTCATGGAACTGTTGATTTCTCTGGCTTTCCTGCTTTCAGGGCCCTTCTGGTGAATTTTTACATGTGAACCATGTTTTATGGAACTACTGATTTCTCTGGCTTTCTCACCTTCAGAGCCCTTCTGGTGAATTTTTACATGTGAACCATGTTTCAGGGAATTACTGATTTCCCTGGCTTTTTCTCCACAGCCCTTCTGGTGAACTTTTACATGTGAAGCATGCTTCAATTCCCTGACTTTCCCCCCTTCATAGCTCTTCTGGTGAAGTGTCACATGTTTTGAGGAGTTGCTGTTTTCCCCGACTTTTTCCTCTTCACAGCCTTTCTGGTGAATTTTTACAGTTGGGGCATGTGTCAAAGAACTGCTGCTGTCTCTGGCTTTTCCCCCTCTAGAGCCCCTCTGGTGATTTTTTATGGGTAAACCATGTATTTTGGAATTTCTGTTTTCCCTGACTTTGCCAAGTTCAGAGCCCTTCTGGTGAATTTTTACAGGCGAATCATGTGTCATGGAATTGCTTTCCCTGACTTTGCCAAGTGTGTCATGGAATTGTTTTCCCTGACTTTGCCAAGTTCAGAGCCCTTCTGGTGAATTTTTACAGGTGAACCATGTGTCATGGAATTGCTTTCCCTGACTTTGCCTGCCTCAGAGACCTGGTGAATTTTTACAGGTGAATCATGTGTCATGGAATTGTTTTCCCTGACTTTGCCAAGTTCAGAGCCCTTCTGGTGAATTTTTACAGGTGAACCATGTGTCATGGAATTGTTTTCCCTGACTTTGCCAAGTTCAGAGCCCTTCTGGTGAATTTTTACAGGTGAACCATGTGTCATGGAATTGTTTTCCCTGACTTTGCCAAGTTCAGAGCCCTTCTGGTGAATTTTTACAGGTGAACCATGTGTCATGGAATTGTTTTCCCTGACTTTGCCTGCCTCAGAGCCCTTCTGGTGAATTTTTACAGGTGAACCATGTGTCAAGGAGCTGTTACTTTCCCAAACCTTTGCCCCTTTGGAGCCCTTCTGGTCATTTTGTATGGGTGAACTATGTATCACTGAAATGCTATTTTCCTTGGCTTTTCGCCCTTTAGAACCCTTCTGGCTAACTTTTGCATGTAAACCATCAGCCATGATTTTAATCTGTGAATCAGGTTTGTGCAAGTGCTTTTTAGGAGGAACGTCCTTGAGTGAGTCTGGGCTTATGTGAAGAGTCGTTTTTTCCTCATTCTTAGGGGTTTCAGAGAGCTGCTTCTGAGGATGGTCTTTTCCCTGTGCAAGCCCCACTTGTTTTAATTCTGTGGTTTGGATTTCTTTTTCCCCACCTTGCAAGATACTTTCAGAGGCAGTGGACTGAGTGCTATTCCTTGAGAATTCTTTCATTTTTGGGTCACAAACTGGTTTTACCACAGGAATGGCGGAATCTGGAGTTACCTCTTTGTTTCCCAATGTAGGCTCCCACCCTGAAAAGAAACAAAAAGGCATGCATAATGCAAAGTGCCAGAATGATGGTTTGACAATACTACATATATGTACTCAAGAATGAGGTGACACCGCCCCCCTCCTCAAATACAGTCATTCAATCTAGGGAGTGCTGAAAACCTGTGAAGCAGCAAAACAAGGTGACTAAGCCGCTGGGTGAGAGGAAAGAGCTCTCTCTTGCTCTTGCAGGGAAACCAAATCTGAGGCTACCCTTTATTCGCAAGGCTGCGTACCCAAGCAGGGTCACGGTCCCAGATAAAGGTCCTGAATGGAGCAAGAGACCCTTGAGGGCATGTATCTGAGAGAAGGTGAGACCTAATGGGACCCCTGTGGACTTCTAAAGGGAGGCATAGCTTTACCAACAGAGACTAGGTTGCCCAGGGTCTCCAGCATCACATCATGGTACTCCGTCCTCTGCACCGGGCCTAGCAGCCTCCACTCCTCCTGACTGAAGTCCACAGCCACGTCCTGGAAGGTCACTGGCTCCTGTAATGTTACACATGCTTGGTGTTTGTCAATGGAGACAGAAGAAAGGCCAATGGGTCACTCTTGTGGACAGGGACTCCTTTGGTCAGGGGTTTTCTCAGAGACAGTGATTTTTTGAGCCCACAAGAGATTCACTGTGGACTTCTCACAAAGCAGAGTCCAGGTCCTGGGCTGAGAGGGAGAGCCTCTGATCACAAAGAGCTACAAGTACAACAAGCAAGCCACTTCTACTGTAATAGCCTCTGTACCAAGCCTGCACTGTATGGACAGCATCCTACCAGAGAGCCTTCTACTTGAAACAGCTTGACCCACATGGCAGACCTATGATGAAGACAAAGTTCCAGTCTTTGTGGACAGGACTAATCTGGGATGGAACATTCCCTCATGCTATATATCATGATCAGTTTTCTATGGAGAGCTGACTAGGGACTCCAAGAGGAAGACTTCACTTCATCCCCTTCTCCAGATCTGGGATGGTTTTTGCCCAGAAGGAGCACAGCCTGCCTTAGCAGGAACAGAATACAGGGACATGAGTCTGGGGTTGGACACAGATTCTTTTCATTACCAGGTAGCAGCCTTGCCTGAAGCCTACTCCAGACAGCTCATCATGAGAGAGCCAATAATTTAAAAAATTATTATTGGAAGCACAAAAGACCTCAGTTAGACAAAGCAACCCTGAGCACTAAGAGCAATGCTGGGGGGATTACTATACCAGATTTTAAGCTGTATTACAGAGTTATAGTCATAAAAAGAACACGGTACTGGCACAAAAATAGACCCATAGATCAATGGAACAAAATTGAAGACCCAAATATGAGTAAATGCAATTTTAGCCACCTGATACTTGACAAAGGGGCCAAGAACATTCATTGGAGGAAAGACAGCATGTTCAGCAAATGGTGCT